ACTTGAGGGAAAAAAAGATTACCAGGCTAGCCAGCCACAGAACTTTCTTAGACAATTGTTCCAAATCATCTCATCTAAAAAAGACCAGCTGCTGCTTTCTGCGCATACCCTAAAAGTGCCCCAGTCCAAAGTTAGCTATTCTCCCAGCTGTGTGCTTGTTCAGTGTCTTAGTTTTTTTTTTTTGTGTTTTTTTTTTTTTTTTTTTTTTTTTTTTTTTTTCTGTTGCTCAGTAGCCAGGCAAAAGAAAATTAAGGGAGACAAGGTTTGTTTCAGCTCCTGTTCAAAGTTCAGTCCATCGTGGTGGGAGAGAGTAGGCAGCTGGGAACATCACACACACAATGGGGACACAGATGAGTGTGAGCTTGCTAACGCTCCTTTTCTATTTCCATTTTACTCAGTCCACGATCCTGTCCTGGAACCGTGCCACCCACAGCGGGTAGGTCTTTGCACCTCCACCAGAGCAATCAAGATAATCCCACATGGGCAAGCCCAGAGACCTCAAATGATTCTAGAGTTGAAAATTAACCCTAATTGTCACACCTGGTACTTCCACTTTTTTAAGGTCAGGGAGATGACTCAGGAAGTGAAGGTATTTGCTGCCACACCCTGAAGCTACCCAAATGTCTTCTGTACTTATGGGTCCTAGGCTTGGGGTTTTGTGTGTATGTGTTTGTGTGTGTGTGTGTGTGTTTTGTTTGTTTGTTTGTTTGTTTGTTTTTAAATAAGAGAGAGGGCTTAAATAGGCCTTGGAGCCTGTGTCGGTCTATGGGGTCCACAAGAGCTTGAGAGACCTGTTTCTCTGAAGTTTTCCATCGTCAGTGCTGTGGCACCACAGAGAAAATGCCCCTCCCTTTCACTGTCAAGGGAAGAAATCTGGTGGCCCAGCCTGCCAACCGCTTGGTTTCAGCGGAAGCTTTGCATGTTTCTGACATCTCAATGCTTGTTTTAGCTCCAGCAGTAGAGGCCTGTCATGGCCTGTTCTTCGTCTGCCTGGATAACCAAGCCTTAAAACCGAGTTTCCTCTGCTTGCTTACATTGTGAATGAGGAGAGGAGCCTCACAGGAAATCTTGAAGCAGGCAGCCCGCAGTTGCCTGCAAGGTCTGGGTCCCTCATGCTTTGGTGGCAGAACTCAAGGAAACTGCCCAGGCAGCTGGGAGCAAGCTCTTGGCAGGGTGTGGGAAGTCCCAGTTAGCCACTGATGTCACGGCATCTAGGGGTGGGCCAGCGTGGGAAACAGGTCATGCTGGGTGCCAAATATGAGGGTTTTTTTTTTTTTTTTGGTTTTTCGAGACTGGTTTCCCTGTGTAGGTTTATAGACCAGGCTGGCCTCAAACTAATGGAGATCCGCCTGCCTCTGCCTCCCAAGTGCTGGGACTAAAGGCGTGCGCCACCATCACCCGGCCAGGTACCAAAATGTAAACGTAAGTAAGGAAATCTACAAAAGACCGAATAAAAGAATATCAAATATTTGGGCAACACTCACACAAAAAAGGTAGAGAGCTTTAAAGGTCTCCTGCCCTGGGGTAGAAGAAGCTGCGGTCAGATCTCCGACCACCACCCAAGAGAGAGCTTACATCTTCTCTCCCTTATTAGAACACAGGTAGCATCTGAGACCACACCTTAATGGACAGGTACCCCAAATGCTATTGGCTGAATGAGTTCCTACAGCAGCTTCCTGCCTCAGCAGTGACTAGAAACGGCCCAACCTGAGCAAGCCATCAGGGGCCAGTCTGGAGAGCTTGTCCCTCCCGAATCCAGAATCTCTCTTCGGCTTGTGGATGGTGCAGGGACAGCTGTGTCCTGGTACGTGTGCTCCTTCACCCCAGTGCAGGCTTCAGGAGGTGGGTTCTGTTCTCAGCTCAAGGAGGTAGACCTTTGCATCTGTGCAGGTCTTTGCTTCAATAATTAATTAGCTTTGGCAAAGGGTCTGGCTACATTCTTCAGCCTGGACCAAGCCTCCTGTGCTCAGGCAGTCCTTGTCTGCCACCAACCTGAGAAGCCGGAGCTGTGGACACTTGCTGTCACACTTGTGTCAACTCCTAATGCAAAAGTCTCCTAACAAACCGCTTTCTCTCCACTACACGGAAATGAAATTTGCAGGTAGTATAATCTGGCACAAGCAGCCGGGCGTTGGTGGCGCACGCCTTTAATCCCAGCACTCGGGAGGCAAAGGCAGGAGCATCTCTGTGAGTTCAAGGCCAGACTGGTCTCCAGCGCGAGTGCCAGGACAGGCTCCAAAACTACACAGAGAAACCCTGTCTCGAAAAACAAACAAACAGACAAAAAACAAACAACAACAACAAAACAATCTAACACAAGCAATTGCTTTCTGTCTTTTTATACAAGAGACAGGGGCTTGCTTTCCTCTGGTGTGTGCACTGTGGCTGGTCACTTCTGGCATCGCACCCAGAGCCATGAAGGGGTTTCCCAGCTCCAGGATAAATATGAAGGCTTGAACAAGTTAGTTGAAGTGAAGTGCTTCCAGCCTTGAAGAACACTAAGGCTAAACTGATGCTAGAGATATGACAGAGTGGCTTTTGTGACCTCCATGTGTATGCTTACTTAGCATTGCAATACAAACTGAAATCCAAGTTTCCATTTACTCCCACTTTCGACCCCTCTCATCTCCTTTACTTGGCTATCTTTGGGTTGAGGAA